CTCATGCATCGCCTAACATGACATTTGACTTTAGTCTAGGATACAGGAACTTAGAGCCTCTTAGTATGCAGCACCATGGATCAAATCACACTCCAGCTCAAGTCCAGCCTCTCTTACATATACACGTTTGCAGATGGTTGCTGTTAATTAAGTCTCATTTGGAACGTGAGTAATTAGAGGATAATTTGACATGAAAGGAGTGTGTGGCTGTTCTTGTGTAAAGGAGAGAGGCAAAGGCAAACTGGAGTACAGTTTGACTGCCTAACCAGGCTCAAGGGAATTTTAATCAGCACAATATAGATTCGCCACATACTTATTTCCGTTCTTGGCCCCTGCCTGCCACCATCTCTTCATTATTCTCTACATAATACATGTCTTCTCTTGCATTTTTTACTTGTACTCATAGTCCTGTTTTTTTTTTAGTATTCTAAAAGGAAATTTTATTTGAGGTATAATCTAGAGGACAGTTCAAAGCTACCAAACCATCTTCTGGCACTAATTCTCCGTTTACCCAAAGAGCACAGCAGTCGCCCTTGGCAACCAGCATCCTTGTTTACCTACTCAGTTTGCCGTCATATGATTGCCATGACAACAAGCCGGTTGCCATGTGAATTTTCCGATCCCATTGTGATGTCTCTGAAGAGGCAGTGTGCCCTTCTCACCTGCTGCTTCTCTTCAGCTCTTTAGTTTCTTCTGCTTAGCTTTTTTTTAAGGTAGTTTATCAATAAAAAAATTATGCCTAAAATTTAAATGTCAGCATACACACAGTCACATAACCCTAAAGGATTTATGCACCCCATTGAAGTTTTTTACATTTTTACACTCTTTGGTGCATTTATGTGATAGACCGGCACAAAGTAGCACATAATAATAATAATAATAATAATAATAATAATAATAATAATAATAATAATAATAATAATAATAATTGTGATGCTGAAATGATTGGAGAATTTCACATTTTTTTGCGAGTTAAAATGTTAGAAATGTTGCATGCATTGGTGTTCCATCCTGTTTAGTACCCTACAATAAAATCAAGTAGCCGCATTTAGTATAAGCCAAAATAGTAAAAAGTAATTTAATCTCAGTAAAAAACAACTCTTCTCTCAGCTGAGCTCTGATAGGAAACATTGCTAAACAAAAAGCATAATAAAGACCAAATAACCCACACATGAGAGGTCAAGGGGGAAAGTTCAAATAAGTTTCAAGTGAAACTAGGCGAGGAAGCAATATCTCAGCTTTAAACAGCTTACAAACCACTGATTAGTCTGTTATGATATGAAAAAGAGCATTACAGCCAAAAACTAAAAACACATGGAAACAGGACTGCTATTTCTTTGTCACTGCACTTCTTGCTGAACTTGTTCTGTTTAGGTTGACAAAGAGGCCCATTTATACTAAATTAATTTTATTAAATTAACAACTGTTGGCTGTATTTGATTAGGCGATTGTTGGAAAAACATTCATACATATTGACGTGACCACAACTTATCCACAGGGTCAAAGATGGTGGAGGTAGGATCATGCTGTGTGGATGTGTTTCTTCAGGAAGGGCAGGATCTGGCTGCTCTTCCAAGGCAGTGTATTTATATATACAAATCAATATGCTGTAATTCCATTGGAATCACCGGGGCTGTTCTGTTTAGCCTTACACTGGCACAAGGACAAGCTTTAGTAAGCTTAATGGGGGAAGAACCTGAAGAGGTGATGGATTGATCCAAGGTTAGAGAGAAGGTTGGTGGACACAAATCTTGCAACTATCAGCCCTCTTTACAAAGGAAGCACAATCAATGTACAAGACAGGAGTGATCAATGAACTGATAGATGGCAGGCCATCCATGGGACCTGGATAGGATGGATGGATGGATGGATGGATGGATGGATGGATGGATGGATGGATGGATGGATGGATGGATGGAT